GAGACACTGGGAACCTGTGCCCCCAAGCGATCGAAAACGGCCCTGCCGACCAGTCGGTGACCGTATTGTTTGGCGAACTTCTTCATGGTTGATTGAGAGGGCTCAACGGCCTTCCTTTTGTTCTCCTGTGGCCTAGGTTGGCCGATCTCATTCTTGCATCGGTCACAAAACACTAGCTCTGGTTTGGGCAATAACTCCTTTTCCTTGACTGGCTTTGTTGTTGACGACGAGCTTCTTACCGTGGCCTTATCAGGCCGATGCAGTTCCCTATATTCGGCCCGAAATTGGGCGTTCACCATGTTGATGACCGGTGGAGGGAACGGCTCGACGTCAACCTTCATGGCAGCCTTCTCTGAGAACTGGAGTTTCTTCTCATCTATTAGCTTCTGAATAACGTCTCGCAGGACGATACAGTTGTTAGTGATGTGAGACCAAGAACTGTGGTACTTGCAGAATGTCTGTCCTTTGAGCTCCTCCGCCTTTGGAATTTTATGACCGAATGACAATTTGACCTTCTTTTCAGTCAGTAATAGATCGAAGATAGCCTCGGCCCTTGTCAAATCGAAGGTATAGGCCTTCGTTTCTCAGGCTGCGAATTTGGCGTCGGGAATCTTTGTTCGGCTGTTGTCGGCCTTGACAAGTTCCTTACAAATGAACAGTTTGTCTAAGCTGACTTCAGCCAAACTCACCTCGATCTCAACGTTCTCGGCCTCGGCGGAGCTGTCTGTTTCGGCGTATCCGACGACGGGATTCTTGTAATAAGTCCCCTTCGTAGCCGTCTTCTTCTGCATCTCTTCTTTTAACAGGGAAGCGTACCGATCTAATTTATTGGCCAGGTCGTGCATGTCTCGAAATTCGATCCCCTAGAACTTCTTTCGGTACTCAAACTCTAGCCCTTCTTCGGCCATTTTGACGAACTCCCTTTTTGGTAGGTTCGTTCGGCACCAATTCCTGCACATCTTAAACCACTGCAGGTAATCACGGGGTGTCTCGTCTGACGCCTGACTTATCCTTGCCAACTCGGCTACGGTTATCTCCCGATTGGTCTGGTAAAAGTGTTCATGGAAGATCCTCTCCATGTCAGCCCAGTCCCTTATCGAATTCAGTAGAAGGTTTATAAACCAGGAAAACGCCGCACCGATCAGGGAATGAACAAACAATCGCAGTTTCTGGGCGTCCAAGTCAGCCTCCCCACATTGGGCCGTGAAACGGCCTATGTACTCGATGGAGGAGGTATGTCCGTCCTCGGAGAACAACATGAATTCTGGCAGTCGATAGTTCCGGGGAAGGGGAGTTCGGTCGATCTCCGGTGGGTACGGCTTAGTATACCTTGGTGCCTCCGGCCGTCCTCGATCATTCGTCGAACGTCCTCGACTCGAAGCCCCTGAGGAGGTGGCTCTGGTTGGGCCGTAAACGACCGTAGACCTGTTGTGCATCGTTCTGTGGCCTTATCTGTTGGGTCATTTGAATGATGGGCTCGGCTGTGGTGACTGAGCCGAACTGCACTTGGTAAGCATTATGGGCATGGCTGAAGTGTGGATGGTCTACCTACCACAATGGCGTGGCCTCCTGCTGTCGGTTTGAACCACTCTAGTAGTGGGAACCTAAGTACGTCTGGGTTGCCATTGGGACGGTCGAACCACACTGAAGCTGGGAGCCCACCGGGAATATCGGGGCCTGTAACGATTGCGCAATGGCCAAACCATTCTGGCTGTACTGCTGTAATGATGCCGCGTTGCTTGGGCTAGGCTGCGTTTGGACGGCCAGAGTATGGATAGGGTCGAGTTGTTGGATAGCGGAGTGCATGGGGCTAGTCTGCCCTAACAGTACAATTGTCTGGATGTGGCCGTGTGGCGTCTCTGCCAGGTAGGTCGGGCCGGGATTTGCCCACATTTGCTGGGACTACCCCCAACTATTCGTCAGTGGCTGAGAATGCCGACCATAGCTTGACGCCGGAATGCGGCCAGCAGCCCCAAGGCTGCTGCCTTCACCATAAGGCTCGGCCCTCTCGCGCTCCTGACTTCTCTGTTCGGCTCCAGGGGGAGTCATGGGTGAAGCAACCGACATCCTTTCTTGAAAGAGAGTTCGTAAATCCGATGAAATTCTATCCATTGCGGCCATAAAGGAAGTCTCTATCCTGTAGGTATGCCTAGCCATCAATTCTTCCATCTGCAATCGCTCGTGCATGGATTTGGCCACTCGGGCCGTCGTTATCGGAATGCTGACCGAGACGCTGGCCGTTTGCTCGTTCTCGGTCGATATTGGTGAGGTTGACTCTGGAGTTTTCGAAGTCATCTTGATTCGCTTGTTTTTGAGCTTTGCTTGTGACCTAGTTTCCACCATAAGGCTTTTGATACTGTAGGTCCCACCGGGCGTGCCAAAAGTGTTGGCGTTAGCGAATCTCACAGCCTGGTGCTTCGGGCCGAGTGGATCTGCGTCAACACAGGTCGTCCTTCTTTGGAATGGTGTGGTTGTATGCGGGCATGCTAGCACGGTTTATCGTGTGTTTGAGGATGAGTTGATTGGATGAATAGATGAGTGGTGCGCCTGTTTGAGTCTGACTTCTAATCAAACGATTGTGACCGAGAGAGGAAATGATCTCGGCCGTTAGGTTCACAGCCTGAGCTACAAGGCCGTTAATGGTGATGTTGGTGGTGGATTTTAGGTGGTGCTCCGACGTGTAGCTGGGTGGCGACGGTCGTATGATATATTGAATGAACAGAGGAGTAACAAAGATGGTGCTCTGGTGCCTTGAAAATCAAGGGTCGTATGATATATTGATGAATGGATTTTCCTACAAATTGCCACTACTCCTAAGAAAGCAAGTAAAAATGTTGAAATGGCTTTACAAGAAGACAAATGACAAGAAGTAAATGACAGGAAAATATAATCTGCTCCGTGGGAGACTTGTATTTGGTGTTTGAACCCCTTCAAATGTAGTTGGAGCCTGGTATTTATAGGGAAAGTCCTGAGAAGACAATGAGGCTGAAAATCTGCATGGTGAGGTTTGATCAGAGCTAGTGGGTAGTCGAATCGACATTTGGGAACGTGAAGCATGGTGGTGTGACCCCCACAAACTCGGGCCGCCGCCCTGATGGTGGCCTCTGCGTCTCGGGCCTTGGAGGAGCATTTAATGCCCTGGTCTGAGGGTTGGTGACTTAATCTTACAAGTCATGAGATTTTCGCACCTAATCCCTGATTTTACTCGCCATACTCTGACCTCAATCACGTCCCTTCTTTCTTGGCTCATTAAATGCTCCTACGTGGATCATGGGCTTTCTGCTGTGATTAGAGGCACTACTTCATTAAATGAAGCTTGGGACCATGATACCACGTGGTGACACCGCTTAACTTTTCCTATCTTGGCCGTGTATCGGAGGAGCTTGTCCTCGGCTAGTATTACCAAGGCTGTGATGACCTTGCCTTGCAAACTTTACCTCTGTTTCCAAAAGGGAACGAACAATGACTTTTAACTTTCGGCCGAGGGAAGGTGCTAGGGCCGAGGAGGGGTTCTCTCGGTCAGCTTCCTTGGCCGAGATTTATTAGGCACAAACAGGCGGCAAAGGCAAAGAAAGGGGGCACTTCGAACAATGAATGTGCACAATTTTTGGAGCAAATTGCTAAGAATAGTGCATTGAGACTTGAGAGAGACTTGAAAAGAGAAGAGCAGACAAGGCACGACATGAAGCATTTGCAATTGAAAGGCAGCAGGCACAAGAACAAGACATGGAGGATAGAGAGATGAAAATCATGGCCATGGATACCACCCACATGTCTCCTAAAACAAAGTCCTATTGGAAGATGAAACGAAGGGATGTGATGAGAAGAAAACTTTTCCATGACAACGGGCATAGCAATACAGATTGGTTAAATGATCAAAACCATTAGGGTGGATTGAAAGATTTGCCATATGTATTAAGAATTGTTGTATTGTTTCCCTGTTATTCAACAAAGAAAGCATTGAATAATATGTCTGTTTATGAAAAATCATTTCCGCATGAAAACAAAGTTTAATTAAAAACAAACCTTATTTTATTGCAAACAACACACAAAACAAAGCATAATTCCAAAAACACCACACACAAAATAAAGCAAACTTGAAAACAAAGCATTAATCTTGACTTCATCCATTGTGATTGCCTTTCATCTCCCACAAGTGCTCGATCAAGTCAATTTGACGCCTCTCATGGACATACGAAGATTGCATTTCCTGGTAACGATTAATCATGGGGTTGTTGAATCGACCATCCCGAAGTAACGGTTCATGCTCCAATGGATGTCCATTTGGTCCCATCGGCCTTTCATAAATTCTTGTTAAGGCCATGTTCATGGGATTCGGTTCGAACACCTTTGGAGCCTCATAATCATACTCATCCTCCACAATCATGTTATGGAGGATATTGCAAGTCATCATAATGCTCCGCAGCACTTCCTCATTAAACATCCGAGCAGCACCCCTAATAATACCCCAATGAGCTTGCATGATACCGAAACACCTTTCAACGTCTTTCATGTTACCTTCTCGGATTGGGGATTCAGAATTGTTTTCACGAATGTTGTCCACCTAGGTTAAATTCCGTCGGCAAGGTAGTACGCACCCGAGTATACGGTATTGTTGATTTGGTATGTGATCTAGGGGGAATGACCTCACATACATCGTTGAAGATCGGGAATTGACCAAGCACATTGAGGTCATTCTGAGATCCGGCAACTCCGAAGAAGGCATGCCAAACCCAAGTATCGAATGAAGCTACGGCCTCCAAAATTATACTTTTTTTGCCCTTTCGATTCCCATAATCTCCTTGCCAAGCAGTTGGGCAATTCTTCCACTACCAGTGCATGAAATCGATGCTTCCAATCATTCCTGGGAAACTTCGAGCCTCACCTTTTTGCAGAAGCCTTTGGAGGTCCCTAGGCGTAGGTTTGCGAAGGTACTCCCACGTGTAGAGATTTTCTACTACATCACAAAATCTCACCAAGCACTCTAGGATAGTTGATTTTCACATCCTTGCAATCTCATCCACCTGCTCTGCAGATGCCCCATAGCCAAGTAACCACAAAGCAGCTGTAAGTTTTTGCTCCGGGAGAAGACCCAAAACTCCAACAGCATCATACTTCTGAATGAAGCATGTGTCGTGATTACAAATATCATGCATGAATTTTTGGAACAAATGTGGCTGCATTCTATATCTCTCTCGAAACTTAGAAACAGGATATAACGAATTTTGGATAAAGTAATCTTCCAAGAGATTCTTAACCCGAGACTGCCTACGTTTGTCCATATTTGGAGCACGACGACAGTGATGTTGCCTTGATTCATTAAGCATACACACCGATACAAGCATTTCTTCGTCTTCTTCATCGGCCTCCCGATCTTCCTCAGCACGTCTGCGCCAGATTTCTTCCTCTTCTCGCTCTTGCCTCTCCAACACCCTCCTCAAGTTTGACATTGATAGTAGAATGTGTTTTGTAAAATCTCATAAATGAAGGAATAGATAAGATATGGTGTGAGAGGTATGAGTTGATGGTATAGTTTTATAAAAGGATTCAGAAGATAGAGATGACACGTGGCGCAATTTTAGAGGGTGAAAATCTTATCTGAAATCTGAGATTATAATATTTTAAAAATATATGAAAATCTTATCTGACATGGGACACGTGGCGCAATTTTAGAGGGTGAAAATATTATCCGAAATATGAGATTATAATTTTTTTTAAATATCTGAAAATCTTATCTAACATGGGACACGTGGCGCAATTTTAGAGGTTGAAAATTTTATATGAAATATGAGATTATAATTTTTTTGTAAATAAATATCCGAAAATTTTATTTGAAATAAGACACGTGGCAACCGAGAATCTCATCCGAAAATCTTTTCTGAAAAATGATGGACACGTGGCAACCAAAAATCTTATCCGAAAATTTAATTCGAAAATTTTATCTGAAAATGTTATCTGAAATTTTAGGTGATAAATTTATAATAAATAGTGACACATGGCAACTGAAAATATTATCTGAAAAACTTATCAAAATGAATAATTAAAGTATAAAAAAATTCAGACAAAAAAAAAAGTACAAAAAAATTGGAAATAAAGTAGCATGACACTACTACAAAAAACGAAATAGACGACGGGAATCCACCGTCGTGTATCATGTTTTACAACCGACGTGAAATCGACCGCTGTCTTTTAACACATGAAATAACGACGGCAAATAACCGACGTCGTTAATATATTACACGTCATAAAAAAAAACTAAAACCAACGTCTATTTCATACATAAAAGCATACAAAGACAACTTTCGACTATATTAGACAGCGGTTTTAGTAAAGCACAAACGTTTAAATAATGTTAAATGTCAAAAACAACTACAAACCCGACATAAATATTTTTATCAACGTCTCTAATTAAAACAAAACCGACGTGTGAAACGTAGAAACCGTCATGGTTAATAAATACAAAGTTCACTAAATAAAAAAACTGACGTCTAAATCATATAACATGGTAAATTAGATGTCACTTTTGTCAAAAAAAGTGACGTCTTAAATATTTAACATGGCATATATTTATTTGGATTGACGTAAAAAAAAAAATAACCACGACCCTTTTGGTCACCACAGACGTTGAAAATTATTTTGATGGCTTGAACATAGAAACAAACGACGTGGATTTAATATTACATGTCGGTTAATTAAAACACCTGTCATGTTTAATCCATTTACTATGGCCTAGGAGTCACATTTTAGGACGTTGTTAGTATTTTACAACGTCGGTGGTTGTAGACTTTGACGTGGTTGGCATTTTAAAAGTCTCTTTTGTGAGCCACTTAGACGTGTGTAATCTCTGAGACGTCATTGCTTTTAGCCTAACCGTCGTTAATAAGTAACGAAACGCCTTGAGTTATGGATTTGACGTCGGTTATTGTAAAATAAAGGTCGTGGTTATACTTTACTATGTCCCAAGAATTCAATTATTCGACGTTGTTATATCCTTACTACGTCGGTTATTTATTTATTCCATGACGTGGCTAGTCTTTGTTAAGTCTCTTTTATAACCTTTTTTGACATGTGTATTCTCCGAGACGTCAATTGTTTAATTATAACTGACGTGCAACAAT